GGGGGGGGGGGGGGGGGGGGGGGGGGGGGGCTCCCCTAAATCCGCCACTGCTGAATTTCAGGCTGCATACGTACCTGAGCAAGGCAGCATTAACTGTCTCACTTATAGCGCGAGAAAAAGCCTCCGAAATCGATCGGGCAAGAGACGCTGGGTCAGCCATTCATATTTTTATTATTTCTAAATAATGAATTGACATACTCAGTGAAGTTTATTATTTCTAATTATTATATGGCTGCGTCTCACAAAAACTGGGAACTACCGAATTCACGAATATGATTAGCTGAAATCGATATTGACCGCGGTCTAGATTTTCCCATTTAGACCGTCATCTATCTAGACCGGTTTCATTTTGCGTTGACAAAGTAGCAAACTAAAATACAAAAATGTTCACCATTTTCTTTTATTTTCTTCTCAAANNNNGGCATCTAGCTAGACCGGTTTCATTTTGCGTTGACAAAGTAGCAAACTAAAATACAAAAATGTTCACCATTTTCTTTTATTTTCTTCTCAATCAATTATGGCACTGCCAAAAAGCCTGATGACAAAAGAAACAAGTAAAGAGAACGAGCAAATTTCGGCAGGTTTAAGTTAAGCTCATCGCCGTTCGCAAGCAAACTGTCGGCAAACCAGTTACATTAAATGAATTAAAGTTTTCTTCTTTGCCATACAATAAACATCTTATTAACCGAGCTAAGTCGGTCTGTATGGGAGAATCTTGACCTCGGTCGTGTGTACATACCTCACTGCGTTCGGTCTGTACTCACCTCGGTCGAGATTCTCCCATACAGACCTCCAGCTCGGTTAATAAGAGCTAAATATTTTCATATCAAATAGAGGCTATTGTTTATATGTTCGAGAAACCTTTTTAACCGATGCATCAGCGTTCAGTCATTTGATTTTGTAGCCAAAATGTAGATCAAGACCAAAAAAAGGGATAGAGAATGTTTTGTTGAAGGGGATGCAAAGAAATGCTTTTCTATTTGAGAGGGATTGGACAGTCTGTCGACAGACCCTCGAAGTCCCCGCGGGGCTACTACACAAAGTTCTTTACGTAGAGGCTCGGCCCGGACGTCCAACGCCTTACTATTTCTATACCATTTTGACAGAAAAGGTACCCCTTCCGCGTAAGTTTAATTGAAAAAAGGAATCCCTTCCACACACTTTCTTAACTGCCCCGTATTTTGAATGAATCGCCACAAAGGAAGTCTTGTTGTCACTTTCATGTAGTGCATAATAAATGAAATGATAAGCCGTAAGGTGCGTTTGTTCAAAATAAAAGGCCCCTAAAAATGATTAAATGACAGATTTCCCAACTTTTCATAATTCTGAGCTAGTGAAATCCCTACTCTTCTATATACCTGAAGCCTGAAAAAAGTACTTCTTTTGGGTGGAGCCTCTCCGCATAGGCCTCTCGAAAGGAGTACGGGGGGTTGGGGGGAGTATAAACCGCTGGGAATTTTAATCTTCCGGTGAAATGATAACGTCAATGCGTTAAAAATGAAGTCCGTGCTTCTGATTGCTCACTGAGGTTTCTGCGGGGCTCTGAATTCGTGGTAAATTCTAACTAAAATTAGATCGGTCTGTAAAATCGCCGTGACAGGAATATGGGGTAGTTGCAGGTTCCTAGTTGTTATACTATTTCACTAAAGAACGCCTTTACAATTTTATTACCATGAATCCTGGTAACAGATCCTTAATATTCTTACAAATTAATATGGATGCTATGATGTAATATGAAAACGCTCCCTTACTGGTTCCATAGTCTTTATACTCAAGAAGGTGGGGCACGTACTTCGAAGCATGGATGGTAACTTTTCATGTGCCACTGACCAAAAACTAGGACGCATAAGTCACGTAGCGTGATACTGAGCGAAAAAATGTTTGCTCATTTCACCTGGGCTTAAAATAGCAAACCCGTGCATGCGTTATTTTAGAATAAAGACCGGGAAGCTAAGATTAAAAGATTTAAACCTCAGAATTAAACTTAAGACAATGTTGCCCTTAATGAGTGTTCGCTATTGATGAGGTGTTGACTTTCGGTCCATGCAGAATAAGTGTGAGTAACAAAGGTTCTTGAGACCTCACCCATTACAATCCGTATACAAAGTTAGAAGAGAAAAAATTGATACCACTTTCTCGCCGGGATCAAAGTGAAAAAGAAAGGCGGAAAGAAAGGATGCCAAATTCTGCCACAGGCATATCTACAGTATGTTAATTGAAGTACTCCACCCCACTCCTCCACCCCACCCCTCCCCCCCCCCCCCCCCC